GTTACGCAGCACTTCTTGGAATGTTTAAATATGGTTCACTCTGTCTTCTTTAAAACATTATTCGCTCCACATTATTGTAAACAATCCATTTTTCATGGTACGCTAATGTTCTTTTAAAAAACGAACTGGAATACATCACTTTATCTTATTCGATTAAATCCTGAAGATCCCAAATATCACAGCGTTTCCATTGGCCAAATATTTTCAAATACCTTGCACAGCTTATATAAGATATGTAGAATAACACTTGCAAGTTTCGTATCGTGTTATTTTCAATCAATGTTTCCATTTAATCTTCATCAATGGCAGCAGGACTACCGAAACGTTTTTGGTCTTACAGATTAAAATTTTTACTTAGTGAACAATACTGTCATCTCAAAAATTACTTATTTTACTGTTTGAACAGTTTTTATTTGTTTCCGAAAATAAAAACGCATCAAATGACAAAAATGGTGATCATTTTCCTACTTTTTTTATTTTAAAGACACGAATTGTACTGAATGTATTTTTAAAATGTCTCCTTTTGGAAAATGTATATATAACATAAATTTCAGTCAAGTTTGAAACTAAACCACGTTCAGTCTCCGCCTATTGAAAAATTATACGAACTTTTATTCCAACCGAACGAAACAAAAATATTTAAGAACCAAATAATGAATAATGAAACACTTATTCTGATTATTATCCGCCTTATAAGGCCTCTAACGTTCTTTATTGCCTTTAAAGGAGTGCCCTTTGCCGTGCTGATGTTGCTACATGCCTTACTTCTTGCCTATTTCACACTGCGATTTTTTTCTAAGCTCTATACTAAACATTAAATCTGTTACGAAAAAAGAACTAAATAAAATGAACACAAAACGATCAGCTTTAAAAAAGGACTCGTAACTGGAAAACCGAATGAAAAAAGAATGTTAACAACAAATACTTTTTCACACCCAAACCAGTTCTACGTAATCAGAATCAACGTTGAGTTTAAGCAAACGAATGAGCCAACTGGAGTAAAATGCAATGCAGATTTAAAATTTTTCACACTTGTGACGAATGCAGCTCTCGATTTTTTTTACATGGTAGCATGCTAGTTAACATTCGTGTCAGTCAGCTGTTGACACTCACTCTGGCCAATAAAATCTTCCTGCTAATTCGTGGCAGTCATCTATAGGCTCTCACTCTGGCCAGTAGAAAATGGCCACAAACTACATGAAAACAGCCGTAGAAGCATGAAAAATCGATTATTTCCACTATAGATTGGAGTTGGATAATGCAAAGTCGGTCTTGGCCTTCCCGCTAACTTGGAGCATGTGCATGTGAATTTTGGTGTAAATCCGTTGAAAATTGCGGCCGTGCATTCGTTACACACGCATACACATCTTGTCTTTTATAGATAGAGCTTATAATCTCAAAATCTTTTACTAATATTTTCCGTGCAAAATTCTTAGATATTATTTGCTTTTATTTCATGAAATATCAAGTAAATAATTTGTAATATTTTGGGCCGGAGCTTCACAGGCTTCATTTTCTTGTTTTGATAGAATTCAAAAGCATTTCCGAGGCCATGTGGATGATGAATTATTTTCCACCTTTCATCCTCTTTCTCACAAGCGGGACGTGGCGAGCATCTCACTGCCCTATCGCCGCTTCCATGCTCCGACGAACTATATTCCTTCAGTCTGTCAGGCCTGACCTTCACGGCTCGAAACCACTTACATTATAGCAAACCACCCACATTTCTTCCGTATTCCATAGGTGAGTAAGGAATTTCCACTCAGATAGCTTCTACCCGCGAACCACTGTTCTGTGGAACTGACTCTCAAGAGGAAATATCCTCGATCACTATAATCTTAACCTGTTTAAGTCTAAAGTTAAAAGTTATCTCCCCCTCCTATCCAAATAAACTATACTTTAACGTAACTACCTAGCTCGGGTGCCTCCCGGGCCTTGTACAGATTGAACCTCCTGTAAAAAAAAATTAATTTTAAGACAACAGCTTATAAACTACCATAAAAAAATAAGACAACAGCTTATAACCTCCCATAAAAAAATAAATTTTAAAACAACAGCTTATAAACTCCCGTAATAAAAAAAAAATTATGACACCAGTTTATAACCTCCCGTAAAAAAAAAAAAAAAAAAATTAAGACAACAGTTTATTTGGCTGCCCTGGAAGAAGAAAATAAAATAATTTTAAAAAATATATTTGACAATTCCATGCTCACTTTTTTAAAATTTAAAGTAATACATTTCGGAAAGTAAAATAACAATTTTTGTTAAAGAATGTTTCCAGTCTTTTAGTCGATACCATTAAACACCAAGAAACTAAAAACCATCCACTCAGCTGTGGTATTCAGTGCAATTTCTAAAATACGACGCGTCATTCCTTTCAGAGAATCTAATGTTATTAACAATTGCGAATGTGATTTTATCTTATTTTTCAAACTTTTCCACCTGAAATATGCACATCATTCGAGTTGTAAGCAATTATTTACTACCTTTTGTTTTCCTTTGATATTTTTAATACTTCTTCATTCAAAACAAAACTTATGGTAGAAGCTTACAGAAGAAGATTGTTGCTTGAACGGGCAGAATATGAGTATTAATATTAATATATATAAAGGTTGACCATAGATTTGAGGAGAGTAAGATTGTAGTAATCTAAAAATTATTCTGTCGTGTACATGTTCTACAAAGCAGCCGTTCTCGGGAAGACGTCCAAATGGAACGTCCTTCTCACCAATGGAATACGGATGGGATGGAGATGATATCTTCCGGTGTTAGCGACGTGGTGGGTCTTAGCTGTGAAGGTCAGAACTGGTGGAACTTAGGGATGTCGCTCGTCAGAACATTTGCCATGGATATAGCGAGAGTAGCGAGAGTCTTGCGACGTCTCTGTGGGAAAGAATGAAAGACTCATTTTTTTGGAGGAAATCAAGTCTTGATGTCTTTAGCCCAAATAATGGATTTGGCAAGTTGAGAAGACATTTACGTGGCCTCAGATACACTTAGAATTCTACACTCTTTATGAACAGTAGTTCCTTTGAGGATATTTGGGGCTGCTTTTACGAAAAGAACATTAGAGGCCTTATAAGGCGGAGAAAAATTATGGGATATATCCTTCATGCGTTTAAAACAAAGTAGGATTTCTTTAAGGTATCTGATGGGTGGGGGGCGTTGAAGAAAATGAATATAAATATATCTACCCCTTAAATTAAATAAAACGTTCAATTTGGAAATCCCTGCCGGTTAACCGGATCGACAAATGCCTGGTGATGACCGGAGAGCCAAATGAGATTAAAGATACCATAACGAATCATCTCGTGGTGATCCCTAATGAGTGTTATGAAGAGTATAAGTAATGATTACGTGTGAGGAGTATTGTCATAGTACCACCCAAGGTAATCTATTTTCTTCTTACTATGTAATGCGGGAATCAATTGCTGACAGTTTAATATCCATATCCATTGTTGCAATAGAACTCTCCTACCAGACTATTAATGTAAATTTACGGTAAGATTGTATAGCGTATTTTCATAAATTCGAAATGTCATTCCGGGTGTGTTGTATAGTCCCTGAAGTCCTCTCGGAAAGGCTGATCTGAGACAGACTGAGATAGATATATAGGTACATAGATAGGTATGAATAGACTGATAGATAGGTAAAAACACACACTTTCTCTCTCTTCTCTCTACATATATGTCTGTTGTTGTTTAGTATACTCTGCCTTGAACAAATGCTAAAATTGAGCGAGGAAAATTTCATTATCTTTTCACATAATGACATATATATATATATATATATATATATATATATATATATATATATATATATATATATATATATATATATATAAAAAGGTTCTTCTTTTTTCTCCTAAAAAGACGTTGTATTTTTGCTTTTAAATTTCAATAAAGCTTTCACTTAGCCGTCATTTACGATCGCCTGATGAGATGTGTAGACCGGCATCGAAGCACAACTGTAAATGTGTAGCGTTTCTGATATCTTATTTATACAATCTCTTAGATATAGATAGATAGATAGATAGATGATACGTAGGTAGGTAGGTAGATAGATAGATAGATACGTAGGTAGGTAGGTAGATAGATAGATAGATACGTAGGTAGGTAGATAGATAGATAGATAGATAGATAGATAGATAGATAGATAGATAGATAGATAGATACATGCAAGCATGCATACATACATACATACATACATACTCAACAATAAATAAATGTAGATACGTAAGATTATTATTTAAAAAGCCCACCATTAGCACACATTCAATTGTACAATCCAGGAAATTGCTGAATCACTCATCTGTTCCAATAAAATATTAATTGAATGGAAATGAAGTGATTGGTGTTTAAAGATAATGAAACAGAGGCTGAGGAATTCATACGCAACTTAACGCTTATGACAGAAACAAATATATGTAATACGAATAAAGAATATAGATCGATATATATATATATATATATATATATATATATATATATATATATATATATATATATATATATATATATATATGTAGTATATATGTACATAGAGATAGGTGAAGACCTATATATATATATATATATATATATATATATATATATATATAGAGAGAGAGAGAGAGAGAGAGAGAGAGGATGCGACGGATAAATTGTCATCTAAATTACGCAAAAATGAATATAACACTGTCCTCACATTATAGCTGATATATTTACCAAATGATACAAAAATATCTTGAAATACGAAAGATTTAACTTATTCAATAAAATCGCGATTCACTTCAACCAGAGCCTCCAGACGACTTCGGAATCTTCTGCAACTCTCCTATGTGGTCTCCTTGATTTCCGTTCATCTTTTGTACAAGGATTTTTGTTGCTAGATAGGTAGATAAAGTCAAATATTATCTATAAAAACTTAGATTACGTATAAACTTAGGTGAGATTAAACTTAGAGAAGGTAAGATTAGATAAAATCTTAGCTATAAAACTTTAAATAATTTAAAAAGTGAGCTAGCTAGCTAGATAAAAAAATATCGGTATAAAGTACAGATAACGTAAACATCTAGAAAGATAATGAGCAGATTTAGATAGATAGATAGATAGATAGATAGATAGATAGATAGATAGATAGATAAAAAAAAGTTCGACATAAAACACAGATAACGTAAAATAATGATCAGATTTAGATAAATAAATAGATAGATAGATAGATAGATAGATAGATAAAAACTTAGGTATAAAACATAGATAACGTAAAAAATAATGATCACAGATAGATAGATAGATAGATAGATAGATAGATAGATAGATAGATAGATAGATAAACAGGTCGGCATAAAACACAGATAACGTAAAAATAATGATCAGATTTAGATAAATAAATAGGGAGATAGATAGATAGATATATAGATAGATAGATGTAAAGAAAGGTATAGACTGAGGTATGCCGATTGTTAACTGCACTTATAGATTATTATAAAGTATTCTTATTACTACTAAGTATAATCTGAATATTGTTTTCGTTTCTATTCATGTAGGATTAAGTGAGATTAGAAATGGAGAGAATGTGTATGCCTCTGTGCCTGGATTGAATGTCGATTGCAAATGAAAGTCTAAGGTAAAGATTTCGAAATTGAAAAAAAGAAGAAAAAAATAAGGTCTCCCGAGACAAACGCGTAGAAACCAATTGAAATTGTAAAAGGGAATTAATTAACATACATTTGTTATTCCCTTCTCAAAATTTCCGGTACTGACGGATGGAAAGGAATTTCATAATGGGATAACAGTCCAGAGGCGGAGGGGGATGAAAAAGGAAATGTGACAATGTTATTTTTTCATGGTCGCGCTTTTCAAACACACATACACATACAGGTATACGCATACACAATCACACACAATGACGGAAAATAAAAGTCTAGTGACATGAATATATGATTCAGTTTACTCATAGATATACGTCGATCTAATATAACTGGATAAAATTAAATGGTTAATCTTACAAATCAATCCATCAGAATGGCTGATGCCCAACTCCACGAGAGCGCTTCTCTGCACCTTCTTGGTCTCACGCTTTCCCCTGACCCCAGGTGGAGCAAATACATTGAATCAATAGCTTCATCTACCGCAAGGTAAGTTGGGTTTCTTTTCCGGGTCAGAAATTTTTCTTGCCTGAGTCCATCCTTCAAATCTACAAATTTACCATCCGTCCTTGCATTGAATACAGCTGCCATATATAGTCTGGTGCCCCCGCTGTTCATCTCGAGAGAAGGATATGCAATGTGATAGGTCCTGATATGGCATCTCGTCTACAGTCACTCTCTCACACACGTGCTTTGGTTTCCCTCTGTCTTTTCTACAAATATTTTCAGGGCAACTGATCTGACGAGCTACTTTCAATGGGTTCCAAACAGTATGAATTTAAGCGTGCTACTAGATTGGCATTTTGGTCCCACGCTTTCACTGCCAAAATGGTTAAATGTAACCACCTCTTCTACTCCAACAGCTTCTTCTCTCGCACTTCCTGACAGTGGAGATCCCTTCCTCTTACTTGTTTCCCTGATAACTATAATCTTCAAATATTCAAATGTAATGTCAATCGACATCTTCCGATGCCTTTATACTGATCACCGCCCTTTTCTATATCCTTTCCTCAAACACCAAGTCTTTACTCCTGCTCTCACGTTCTGTAACTATTTGCGTGCTAGTGGCAATCCCGCCTTGATTGGAGTGATAGGCATATATATATATATATATATATATATATATATATATATATATATGTGTGTGTGTGTGTGTGTGTGTGTGTGTGTGTGTAGATCTTCCCAAAAATTATATATATATGGTCAGTAATTAGAGACCTTATTGATACACTATATATTTTTTCTTTTGCTATTTATCTTTCAAATATTTGTTTTTAGTAGCATCACTAATAAAAATGTCCCCATATATTTAATTATAAGTTTATACTTTTATTAGTTTTATTTTTTTATTATTTATTTATTTGTTTCTATTATTGTCATTAAAGTAATAATAAATCAGAATGGTACATTTGTTAATGAACTGTTCAATCCGACAGTCTGGGTAAAATATATACGTCCATTCCTTTTCATGGTAGGGGGCTTACTTACCCCAATAATCCAAGAACGAAACCGTCTGTAGGGCCTCAGAGTAACAACTAGCCTGAACGCGACCAACCCTCTTAGATCACAACAGTGGTATAAGCAATGATCTATACGCTCTCAAAGGCTAAACTGGCGGATAAAGGCAGCGCCAGTCGAGCTGGCGTAACCAAGGCTGATTTGGCAGACCTGGCATCAGAAAGCCCGATGCAACAAGGTTTCACAGATCTCAATCCTATTTTAACCGCGAGGGAGACGCTTTTGGTCAAGTCTTTGGGATTCTCCGACGCACAGCCTTGTACACCAAAATCAAATTCATGCGAATGACCACGTCATTGTCTTTTTTATTCATAGCCATCTCCGCCACCACCCTCACTGTAAACAAAGGGATTAGGGAGAGGGGATGACAATCCCGATAATCGGATGCGAGCGGGTGCCGACAATAACAACAATAATACCCTATATATCCTCTTGTGGAAGTTATATAAGCCTGTATTTTCCTCATCTCCATTTATTGTTTTTTACAGAAGTAAGTATGTTTTACAACTTAGAGTTGCCAGCCTCTCATCCAACTTAGAGTTGTGTTATGGCCCGGTTCCTTGTACCACGGTGATAGTCCAAGGTAGAACCAATAAAGAAGAACTCGAATACGGATATGGAATAACACAGATATATTACAAACAGGAATATATACAGAGAAGTAGAAAGTGTTAGTACGAACAATCAGGTTTAGTAGTAATTGCCTGAACGCGACTCTGTTTCGGACTGCCTCTGACTCGACTGACTGACTCGCTCTGACTGACTGACAGATTTCTGACGGAACAGTCTTCAGACGGAAGAGTATTTAGTCACCCCCCCACGAGGGCATCATGTGGCACAAGGCCGGTTTAACGTGGGATCCTTGAGCCCGTGGGCTCTGCTAAAAATATGCCCTTTGAACCCGTATAAACGGGCTCAGGGTCGGTTTACCTCCCCGAAAGAGACTCCGCCCTTCGGCGTAGCCTCGTTCGGTTTCCTACCCGCCCGAAGGCAGAGAGTTCAAACGATCAGGCGTTCAGCCGGTCGTCCGACTTCGGGCTGAACTCCTTGCTTCCTCTTGAGGCGCAGTATTTATTACGTATGGAAAAGTCCATTATGTTATTATGGGCAAGGTCTCATAACAAGTTGCCAGCCTCTCATCCAACCGCTTCTGAATTTAGACTTTTCCTTTTAGTAGACTGTCAGTAAAGACTAGATAGTCTGTCTTGCTATGTAACCAATAGTTGGGAGGAAGGGAAGAGACGGATTCATGCCTCTCACAAAGTGAATTTCTAATACATTCCCGAGTTACACAATAATAAACAAAGAACTTTACCAGATAACAGAAAACACATGAATGATGACATTCAGCAGCAACAACTAAAATGGCTATCACTTTTAATTCGGAGAATATAATTCCATAATGAAGAAGTTAACATTCCACACCAATTCAAATAAAAGGTTAGGATGGAAACTCTCATCAATACTGGGATTAGCGATAACAGACTTGAGAAAAACATTTTCCTGAAAATTTGTTTTCAGAGAAAGGTTTTAAAAATTTCACCCAACAACTGTATTAACTGCTCAGTCAATGAATGTCAAATGTTTCTCTGTAATGAATTGGTTGACATTACCATTATGATTAACATTGGGTTGAAAGTGAACGTAAAAACACGACCGAAATTTAAAATCGTCTAGCCAATTCCATTTTCGCGCCTCTAACCGATACACCCTGTATATATCCAATGAGACAAATGGTTATAATGTTCAGATGCATAATGTGGGTGGGCATTATTCGACTTGAAGAGTAATTACATTTCTTATTCCATGAATATCAACAGAATGAGTTGAGCAATACTCTGCGCTTACATCCTGCTGATCAACATTTTAACATCTACACTGTCAAATCGCAAGTGTTTGTCTCGGTGTCTTGAATAAATACACATGAGAAAATGTCACACCTCGTTTGTACCACCCACCCCCATAAAATATTAGTTACATGAATGTAGAACATGCTCTCATAAATGACATTATTGCAGTGACGTATTTGATATACTATGTGATCATCTCGATGCAACACTTGAAATGGTCTACTGTAAGTAAACTATTCTGAACAGGGTATATTGACAATCTGGAAACTAAATTTGCATTGATCTTTAATGTGAACGCCTGAAGTGTATATATATATATATATATATATATATAAAGAGAGAGAGAGAGAGAGAGAGAGAGATGGAGAGAGAGAGATAGAGAGAGGTGACAGAAATATAAAAGTGAACATTGAGGTCAATACCGAGCGACGACAGTCTGAAGTCTTCAGGTCTAAACATTGCGCTCATGCAAGACTGTCACCGCGCGGTTTCGACCTCAGTGAACATTTCTTTATTTACATAAGCCTTGATATAACCACTTTTAACTATACATATTGTATGAGTTTTTTATATATATATATATATATATATATATATATATATATATATATATATATATATATATATATATATATATATTAATTATCAGATATTGCAAGTACATTACAATAAATTAAATTATAATAATTTAATAATAATCTAATTTATTGTAATGTACTTGTAATCTCTGACGATGGATTATGTAACCCAAAAGCTTCGACAGAATTAACAATAAAAACATGTATCAACATGGTGATTTTCTTTTGTATTTCAGTGATAATAATAAAAAGATTATTCGACAATATATATATGTATATATAAATAAAAAGAAAGAACAGTAAGATATATAATCCGGTGTTTTTATAGATATTTTTATTTTTACAAAATAGTGCTCAATGTAAATTTACAGAGCATTAATATTATAAATTAATTCATTTAAAATATGTTTTTTCGCTACACAGTTCTAACCATGTTTCAAAAATGGAAGCTAAAAGCTATTTTAATTAATTTTGTAATTAAATTAAAGACATTCGTTCCATTTCATCCTCAAGCAAAGTTTAGGTTAGAATTCATTTTATTCAACTACAATTTTAATTACAACTTTAAAATATTTTCATTGTTAGTTTTAATAGACTATATTTCTTTTTAATAGAAGTAAATGTATCAGAATTACTTACAGCAAGTAAAATTATTTTTCCATATCAAGTATATGTATATTACGATTTTTATAATCTTATAAAGTATAGAAGGGTCAATTGAGAAATTTGGAAAAGGCATGCTATATATATATCAAAAGGATATGTCAATATTATTTTCATTTTTGCGTAATTTAGACGACAATTTATCCATCGCATTCTCTCTCTCTCTTATACACACACAGTAGCACACACACACGCACGTATATATATATATATATATATATATATATATATATATATATATACGCGTTCTTATTTGTACAAGGGAAATTTCAATATACCTTAGTTATCACACTAGAATTTCGTGAACTTTACAGTGTATTATTAAAAGAAATATTAACAGGACACTTAATTACAATAGGAAATATATATACTTCTATATATATATATATATATATATATATATATATATATATATATATATATATATATAGTATATATATTTCCTCGAAACAGTCTGTGGAAGACTATATATATATATATATATATATATATATATATATATATATATATATATATATATATATA